AAAGAAAGAAAAAAGAAAAGTAAATTAACACTATTGTTTGGGTTTGAGGTCATATTTGGTAGCACAAAACTTGAGAACTTTTAGTTGAACAAATATGAATTTTCAACACTGCTCATTTCCATGGAAAAGAAGGGAGCACTATGAATGAGCACAGTGAAAGCCATTTTTCTTTAACTGACTGCTGATGGGTGTGCAGATGGCAAGAAATTTCTGGTTTTGCTGAGACCCATGGAAAAGTATGGTGGAATTTGTAGTTCTTTCAACTGCTGGACAATTGAAACATGATTAACTCCATATGATTTGTATCAACGCCAGGCAGCAAAGTTCTAGTTAGTCATAATTAACTAATAAATTACCTTTGTGGTGCTGGGGATCACACCCAGCTTGGGAAGTGCTCTATTACTAAGCTATGCCCCCAACCCTAGACATTCCTTCAGTCATATAATTTTCAACATGTACCAGAGAAATGTCAGAAGTTTTTAATTTTTTTGATTCATTTATTTTTATGTGAATGTTTTGCCTAAATGTATGTTAAGTGCACCCCTGTCATGCAGTGCCCAGGGAGGCCAAAAGAGGGCAATTGGATCCCCTGGAACTGGAGTTATGGACAGTTGTTAGCCTCCATGTGGTGCTGGGAACTGAACCCAGTCAAAGCAGCCAGTGCACTTAACTGTTGTGCCATCTCTCCAGCCCCAGAAATTTGCTTTTAAATCAATATGCACACATGGAAAGGAAAAATAACTTGAAAATGTACATTTGATGTCTATAGAGTTCAGGGGGGAGTGGCAGCACACTTTTGTTTTTAAATATGTCTTGGCAAATTGCCCAACATTTAGGTTGGATTATAATAAATTATTATTGCTACTACTCATATGTTATGATTGCTAGTTATAATTTCTCAGAAAAGACTAATAAAATAGTTTAGGCTACCTATTAAGGATAGTGGTGGAATTTCTTTTTTATTTCCTCTGAAAAGAGCAAGACCTTCTTAAGATCTCTTAGTAGCCCCCACCTTAGAGGTGTTTATAAGTAATTTATAAGTTATTTTATGAAACCTCAATACCGCATACTAGATACTCAAAGAACAAGCAAAAACATGTCAGAAGAGGAGACAGAGTGATGTGTAAGACCTATAAGCACTGAAGATGAGCAATTATCATATAAAGTCACAAGGAGACAGGCCTCGTTTTAACTTTTAAGGAATACCTTGAAGATGTGGCTCAGTAGTAGAACAACACCTTGGGTCTAATCTGCAGCATTGGGGGAAATAATAAAGGCTATACAACAATAATAATTCAAAAAAGAGGATGAATCTCCTCAAAATCCCATACTTCCAAATTGATCAATTAGAAACTAATTGTCAACTATATGGGAAAAACATTGTACTTAAACTTGTATCAAGCCAAATCAATTCAATGTAACATGCTTAACATTTTTTTCAGGAGCTCTGAGAAACCATGGGTGTTTTAGAGACCCACATATGTGGGTAGTGAAAAGAGGGTATGGAGCAAGTTCTATATGCATTAAGTACAAATTTCTTGCATCAAAAAAAATGAAGGAAAATAATGTATTAACCTTGTGAGGAGTGGGGGCTGGAGAGATCGTTCAGTAGATAAGAGTGCATACTGCTCTCGCAAAGGACCCGAGTTCAGTTCATATCCAGGAACCCACAACTGCCTGAAACTCTAGCTCCAGTGGATCCAACGCCCTCTTCTGGCCTCCAAGGGTACCTGCAATTATACAGGTACATACCCATACATAGGCAAACACATACACATATAATTAAAAGTAAAGCAATTCTTTTTTTTTTTTTTGGTAAAGCAATTCTTTGAAAAGGTATTAACCCCTGGAATACCAGCTAAATTAATTGATACTGACACAGGACAATGATATCTAACGGGTAACCTGCAGTTTGGAAAGCTTGGAGTCAGGCGAACATGTGACCCACTTCTGGAAAACTGACACTGTGTATTCACATGGAATAGGAAGTGTATTGTCACCAAAAAAAAAAAGAGCAGAGTAATGTCTTCCTTAAAGGATGACTGTGAGGATTAAATGAAACTGTGGATGTGAAACTCTTTTTTAAAAATGTATTAGTTTTATTCGTGTATATGAATGCATTGCCTGTGTGTATGTAAGTGCATCCCTGTCATGCCCATGGAGGTCAGAGAGGGTATTTGATCCTCTGGAACTGGAGTCACCAATAGTTGTAAGCCACCATGTACGTGCTAGGAACCGAACCTAGATCCTCTGCAAAAGCAGCCAGTGCTCATAACTGCTGAGCCATCTCTCCAGCCCCAGGTGTGAAACTTTTGATATGGTGCCTAGAACATGGTAAATCTAAATGGCAGTGAAGAGTATCATCTAAGAAAATGATTCCATCTGACAAGCTGTCTTCCCTTGGCCTCTCTGGGCCCAAATTTAAGTATTAGTCTTTTGATTTATATTGTTTTTGCCTTTCCCCTCAGCCTAACCTGTATGCTTAAATTAGCCTTGTAAAGGGCCTGGGGAGATGGCTCAGCCAGTAAAGTGCCTGCTGCATAAGCATGAAGACATAAGTTTGGATCCCCAATACCCACAGAAAAAGCCAGGCTGGTGGCATTGGCCTGTAATCCCAGCACTGGGAGGGAGGGGGAGCAGAGACAGGCAGCTCTCTGGAGATCATTAGCCAGCAGGCATACTTACTTCAATTGGTGAGCTCCAGGTTCAGTGAAAGACCCTGTCTCAAGAATAAGGTGGAGAGTGATTGAAGAATATGCTTTACATCAACCTCTAGCTCCCAGACCCATGCTCTGCATGCATATACATACATAGCCCCACATGAACATGCACACACAGCACACACAAAGCTGGCCCTGTACATCACTGCTTGTCACTTTCACCATACTTGTATTGCTCATTTAATTCTTTATCTTTCTGTCCAGCTTCTATCTGTTACTCCAGAGACTTTAGGCTCTGTTTGAAGGAGATGGCCAAGATGTCTGACTTCAATATAAATCCCCAATACTCAACACAGACCATAATACACTGTAACTACTTAGAATGTGTTTTTTGGGTTCCTCAGTGTTGAAATCTAGCTTGCTAGCTTATAGAAAGTCGATGGTATATTTAAAAACTGTAATGTTAGGAGTGGGGATGTGTGTGGCTCAGGGGTAGAGCTCTGCCTAGCATGCACAGGCCTAGGTTCCATGTAAGTTCAGTCCTTGAACAGGGGTTAAATGAAAAAAAGAAAAAAGGTGTTGGGTGGGGGCAAGGACATAAAAGGCTACAGTTTTTTCTTTGAACTTTGGTGGGGTGAGTGGAAGTCTAATTCTCAATGTATAGAATTCATAAGGACTGATTCCGGCAGGGAAAGAGGCAGCAGTTCCTTTAAAAATACTCACTTGATACTTTAATAGCCTCAGCACCTGTAGAGCTTCCAAAAGCCAGCAGCTCTTCATTTATCTTCACAGAATCTTGGGCACCTGGAACCTTGCTTTCTTCCTGGCTGCAGCTGTCAAAACCACCAAGGCCAAATACAACCAATGACTTGACAATCACCACACTCAACTAAAGAAACACAAAAAAACAAGAAAGTGACATAGATCATTGAGACAGTGACCACGAAAGTGTGTCCCTGTTGACCTTCATTCGTCCTTGCAGTGTCACGGGGAGCCCAGGCACACAGCCCAGATCGCATGCATGTGTGTTCTCCCTGGGCCTGGGACCCAGTGCAGTCAGTACACAAAAGGCTGCAAGCTGAGCAAGGCAGCTCATCTCAGTGACTACTCCATCATTAGTAAAATGGACAGTAATTATCCTTTGGGAAGTTGTCAGAAGAAAATTTAAAGTAGGATATCGAAGATCTGAACTAAACCTTTTAGTTTGCCTCTTAGCATTGGTTTGATTGCGCTCCCAAGACCTGGATGGCTTCAGTTAAGATTTCTCGCGCCTCTGTTCCCTCCCGCTGCTGCTGCCTGTCCACCGCCACACCTCAGGTGTAGGAAAGTGAGAGGCTGCGGGGTGTCTCCCGGCATCTCCCGGAGGAGGGAAGCCTGCGCAATACGCATGCGCACAGGGGAGCCAGCCTTTCTTAAGAGCACAGCCCAGCGCAGCCCGGCCTGCCTGAGCTGGCCAGAGCTGCGAGGCGAGCGTGCGGGCGGTTGCGCCCGGCGTCTCCAGGAGCCTCGGGGACCGAAACTTCCGTGGGAGGCTTCCACCGCAGCGCACCGCCTGGAGCGCACCAGCGAGGGCCAGAGGAGCGGAGCGGGGCTGCTCTGCGCCTGTGGACCGCGCTGCAGCCGCGGATCCCTAGCGAGCCGCCCCCTGGCCCCGCGCCCAGCAGCAGCCGCGGCAGCCGCCAGCCGGGCGGGCTCTGGGCTGCAGCAGGAGGCGCGACCCTTGGTAAGCGCTGGAGGAGTACCATCCGCTTCGCCGGCCGGAGAGCCGGAGCTGACCGCCCAAGGACTACCGGATCGGCGACCGGAGCCATGCGGACTGAGCCTGGGGCCGCGGAGGCTGAGCGCGGCCGGCCGCTGCACTTGCTGCCGGGAGCGTGGCGAGCGGTGCCCGCCTCCTTCGCAGCCTCTTGCCACCCGGTTGCCGCATAGAAGCGAGACGCCTCCGTAGCGCGGGGCACCCAGACACTTCAGCAGCCACCAGGCTCCCGGTCCGCAGCGGTGCGTCCCGCGGACATCTTCCCCCGGGAGCGCCTCTCAGGGATGCCCAGGGAAGGTCCGATCGTAGGCGAAGCCTCCAGTGGCTACGGGACGCCAGCCACGGAGGCTGGAGAGTGCCATCTGCAAGTGGCACTGTGAAGGCAGAGCCTGGCGGACACCGGGTCACCCGCAGGGAAAGGGATGACTTAGACCCTGGCCCTGCAGCTGGCCTTGGCGGCTCTGGACTTCGCGGCAGAGGGGAGTGGCCGGCACGGAACGCGCGGGCCAGACAGTGAGTGGTCACCCGGGGTCGTCCGAGCCCCAACTTCTAGCGAAACGATCTGCACATCCCGCAGAGACGCATCTCTCGCGTCCTCCGCGACCAGAGTGGTGCCATGTGGAACAGACGCCGCTCGCCTACCGCCTCCCGGAGCTGCGCTTCGCTCCTGCAGCTGCTGCTGGCTGCGCTGCTGGCTGCCGGGGCTCGGGCCAGTGGCGAGTACTGCCACGGCTGGCTAGACGCGCAGGGCGTCTGGCGCATCGGCTTCCAGTGCCCGGAGCGCTTCGACGGCGGCGATGCCACCATCTGCTGCGGCAGCTGTGCCCTGCGCTATTGCTGCTCCAGCGCTGAGGCGCGCCTGGACCAGGGCGGCTGCGACAACGACCGCCTGCAGGGCGTCGGGGAGCCTGGCCGGGCCGACAAAGACAGTCCCGAAGGCTCGGCAGGTAGGGCAGCCTGGCCAGGAGCAAAAGGGGAGGGTGGTTGCTTTGCTTGGGCAGCAGGGACCTAAAAGCCTGGAGACCAGGAGAGTCTGGAAATAGGAGAGGCCCGCGTTCTTTCCCACTTATTAACTTTGTGTGATGTGGGGCAAAAATCTTGAGATCCAGATTTCCCTCAGTTCAGGGTCCTTGCCTTCCCTTTCCTCGTGTCACCTGTCTCCACGGGGCTTAGTTTCTTGGGTATATCCAAGGAAATGGCTAGGGTGAGCTTCCTCATGAGAGAGCCTGGCAAGGGATCTTCTTGAAGGGTTCTCAGAAAGAAGGCAGCTCTGGCATACTTTCTGCGGATGACACCTTTTCATACCCCAGGATCCAGTCCCTCCTGGACGACTGAACACTCAGCTCTCTGTGGCCACCCAGGTCTCCTGGCATCTTCAGTGGTCTCCTTAGGCAGACTTGGTAGATGTGACATCAGAGCCCAACTTTTTACATTGCAACTTGATAATTTCTTTTTTTAAAAAAATATTTTATTATTTTAAATTTATGTTTAAGCATGTATTGCCTTCATGTATGTAAGTGCACCCATGTCGTGCAATGCCCTCGGAAGACAGATGAGGCTGTCGGATCCCCTGGAACTGGAGTTACAGACAGTTTTTAGCTGCCATGTGGGAGCTGGGATTTGAACCCGAGTCTTATGCAAGAACAACCAGTGTTCTTAACCGCTGAGCCTTCTCTCCAGCCCCCTCAACTTGATTATTTCTGAAGTCTGTCAAATAACTTAGTAGGCTGCATTTCCTCTTGAGAAGCTTTCCCTCTCTGGAGAGGCTGCACCAGGTCGTGTGTGTGTGTGTGTGTGTGTGTGTGTGTGTGTGTGTGTGTGTGTCCAGCACCTAGGGTTGGATTTGGCTGGGCCTTGGCACACGTTGCTTTGCTGTTTATAGAGCTGCTGTCTGGCCTGGTAAGAGGCAGCTGTTTTCAGTGCATTTTCTTCACAGTAAAGCACTTTCTTAGCTTTCCTATTGTTACCCTGCCTTGAATATGAAGAGAGAACTGAGGGTAATTCTGAAAAAGGTACTATCTTAAGGCTGGCTCAGCTTTGCAGAGTGTGTGGCCTGGGAATAAAGCCTGGAGGAAGGAGCCAGACTCCGAACTGCTACAATAAGGAGTCTGTTAAGTTGGGCTCCTTAATGATCTCTAAAAATGTGGGGATGGCTTTGGACAAAGCAGGAGGCAGCACACTTCTCATGCGCCTGTGTTGTGCATGGTGCTTCCTCATTCTGCTCAACCTTTTCCTTAAAGCTCCTGCCCCTCTCATGTCCCTTCTCAGTGAAGGATAGTACGCCTAATTAAGCCTGCCAGGGGGCTTCTAGTAGCCCACATTCTTTACCCCTGTGTAGTTATTTACACTTCCAATTAAAAATCCTGGAAAGAGAACAGTTATTTCTCCCCCAAACTCATTATGTAGACTGAGATTGGTTTCAGGTAGTTTTTGCTATCATGTTGGGGATAAAACTTTTCTGTGTTTTTTTTTTTTTTTTTTTTTTTTTTTTTTTTTTTTTTTTCTGGTATCTTAATTTAGAGAATGAAATATTTATAGCATGTGTAGAAAAAGCTTGGCTCTTGCTGCTCTGGTCCTCCAGTTGGCCTGCAGTGCTGTTGTAATTAGAGCACTACAGCTGCGCGAGCCAGCTGTGCTGCAGACCGGGCAGCAAGTGTTCAGACTGACTGAGGGACCCTATATATAGAAGTCTCTGCTCAGCAGAGAGACTGGGATATCTCCCACTGTGCACTTGTTCAATGCCTCTGAAATATGTTTACTTCGAAGTTATTTCTCCACGATTCCACCTAGGACGCTAAAAACATGGACTCCAGGAATATAAGCTGTCAAAAGGAAGGTCGCAGATTTGACAGCTGAGATGTGGGCTCTGTGCTGCCGCAGCATCGCAAGTGCTGTCAGCTATGCTATGCCAAGGCTAGCGCAAGTGAGCGCCTGTTTTGATCAGATAGGGAGGGCTGGGTATGGCTCAGTGATGGAGCACTTGCTTAGCATGCGTGAGGTCCTGAGTTCAATTCCCAACACCTCACACACCCACTCCTTCCAAAAAAGGGAGAGGGGGCAGAAACATACCAGAAAATGTAGTAGGTTCTTGAACATAGGTAGCATTCCATGGAAGTGGCTCGGACTTCCTGCACACTCCTCCTGCCTGCCTCCATCTTGAACAGATTGCATGTCGACTTGCTAACTGTATAGTTGCCATTCCTGTGGTTCTCAAAGATTTCTTATTCATTTTGTGCTTTTTAAATTTCAATTTTTTTGAGATAAGGTCTCACCCTAGTTCAGGCTGGCCTCTGGAACCCACTGTGTAGCCAGGTTGGCCTCGAATTCATGGCAGCCCTCTTGCTTGGGCCTCCTAAAATGCTGGGATTAAAGGTGTGAGCCACCATGCCTGGCTCCTAATAGGCTTTTTTTTTTTTTTTAAGAAAATAATTTTAAAATGGAGTTTGCTACTGGCTTTACTAACAGGCTTTTATTTTTTATTTTATGGCTTTATTTTTCAGAATAACTCCATACTCACTGGTTCCTCCTACCCTCTTCTCCCCACTGTCCTCAGCCTCTGGTAACTACTTTTCTATTCTTAACTTTTATAAAACCAACTTTTTTAGGTTTGTGGAGAGTTTTTAAAATATTAAAACATTTTTAGACTATTATTCATTTTATATGTGTGTATGTGTGTGGGCATGTATGCCATGGTGTACATGTGGAGCTGGTTTCCTCCGTTCACTGTGTAGGGGTCTGGGGATCAAACTTGGGTCACTTGGATTGGTGGCAGGTGCCTTTACCTGCTAAGTCCTCTCGCCAGCCCAGAGTTTGCTTGTTTGTTTTTCTCCTTCCTTGACCTCCTTCCTGTCTCATATTCTTTTTGAAAATGGTGGTAGATCAGAATCTGATGTGAATTATTTGTTTTCTTTGACCATGAAAAAAGAGCTTGTTAAGAAATGGCAAAAGAAGTTCTCAAGGAATGTATAAATTTTCCTAGAAGAATAAGAAAGACTTGAAGAAATGTAACTTCATTGTTTCCGTTTGGATCCGGCAGCCCCTGCGAGGGATTTACATTTACACGGCTCAGTTAACTGTCGTAAAGTGGAGCCACAGCAATCTTTGTATCAAGCTTGTGTATTGCCCACTTGGCTATGGGTGTCAGGTACTGTCATTGGGGAATCTCACTACACATATAAAGTTAGCTTCTGGGGACCCCTTGCCATTCCTGCCAAGCCTTGACACCTTTCCAGAGCATGTGACCATAGGTACTGTGTCTTGTACATTACTAACCTGTAAACAAGCTGGTCCAACGTTGTTTGCAACAGTATCACTGTTGCATATCTGTGCCCTGCCTTTGCAGGTCATTAGGTTTTATGGCATTCTTCTGGTAAATCATGATGCTTTGTTTCTGTCTTTTCTCCAGTCCCCATCTATGTGCCATTTCTCATCGTGGGCTCCGTGTTTGTTGCTTTTATCATCCTTGGGTCCCTGGTAGCAGCCTGTTGCTGCAGATGTCTAAGACCGAAGCAGGATCCCCAGCAGAGCCGAGCCCCCGGGGGCAACCGTCTGATGGAGACCATCCCCATGATCCCCAGTGCCAGCACTTCCCGGGGGTCATCCTCCCGTCAGTCCAGTACAGCTGCCAGTTCCAGCTCCAGTGCCAACTCCGGGGCCCGGGCTCCCACAACAAGGTCACAGACTAATTGCTGCTTGCCAGAGGGAACCATGAACAACGTGTATGTCAACATGCCCACGAATTTCTCTGTGCTGAACTGTCAGCAGGCCACGCAGATTGTGCCCCATCAAGGGCAGTACCTGCATCCCCCATATGTGGGGTATGCGGTGCAGCATGACTCTGTGCCCATGACACCTGTGCCCCCGTTCATGGATGGCCTGCAACCTGGCTACAGACAGGTCCAGCCCTCCTTTGCCCACACCAACAGTGAACAGAAGATGTACCCTGCAGTGACTGTATAGCTTGCAGGTCACCAACTAGACTATAAAACTGAGGAAAATGGATGGGTTCTTGAGGTAGAAGTTGGTGATGTTTATGGCACTGTTCGGATGATTTCATTTGCTCCTGAACTGTAGAAGTCTCCAGAGCAGCAGTTCTGGCCTGAATCGCTAATGCATAATGGAAACACAGCTTCTAGAGTTGCCACCTGGGTCTTCCAGTATGTGATGAATACTTGATCCCTAAGTGCCCTCGAGGTGTGGCTGCCAGAAGTTTATGATCTGATAGAGCAGGGATTTCATAGTCTCTGCGTATCACTTCTGTTTTGTTGTCAGCTGCAGACAGAATACCTGTTACCACCTTTCACCTGGGCTGCTTTTAATCAGTGTTCAAGGCTGAAAGGAAGATGTAAATCACTTAATTATTATGGAGAAAAACCAGTTTGAACTCTTGGCATTAGCCTCTGTACTCCAGAGGCACGTCTTAATTTCATTGTAAAAAGATATAGTTTGTCTATTTTTATGCTTTTGGGGGCAGGGGGACCTATTTTGTGGTTTTTTGTTTTTTAACCTTGTGTAGAGATCTTATTACAAAGTGATTTTTCTATGTTAAAAAGAGACTGAAAGAAATGTATAGTTACCTATCTAATGAAGATATGTCCAAAATCTGGGATTATTTTGATCTGGAAGAAGAAGGTGGGGTCGTAGTGAAAATGTTCATTCCCTTCTTGATGGAAACTTTTGGTTTTCTGGCTTTACTCCTGAGAAGTAATTTGATGCTTTTTATGTTGAAGTCATGAGTTATCACCAGCTACTCTCCACATGATGTGACCTGGCACTTCATTCTGCCTGGTTCTCAGATCCCCTTGTCTGAATAGTACACAAGGCAGGAAATGACCACAGTGTAAGTGAAGATCATACCTCTACCTAGGTCTGGCAAAACATTTTCTTGTTTTAGTTATAGAAATGCAAAGGAAATGTGTTACAAAGATGCATAGTTGAGCTCCTTAGCCATTGTGGGAGACGTGGAATTCAGCAATCTGAAGCTTTACACCTCTCAACCCTGTGGGGTAGAATTTAAACCTCAGATATGAATTTCTTTGCAAATGGGCTTTTTATATTCTTGTTATCAAACTGGCTTATTATCCAAGCAGTAGGGACTATGAAATTGAGAAAAGCCTTTCAAAGAGGCAATCTTTCTTATTCTTTTTCTCGCTTTCTACAAGCACTGTATTCATTGTCAATGTTTAAAATGATCAAATTCAAGTGAATTTGTATATTGATTACTTATGAACAAAATTTATGTGTGTTAGTAAATTTTCAACTGCTAGCAAAGCCAAAATTTGTTAAATAATTGTGAAGCTTGGTCTTTTACATGTTTGAATCTATAGCTGTCACTTAATCTTCTATTATCTATGATCTCATAATGATGATAATTATGCTAAATCATCATTGACAATTGGTATCAGCTGATATGAATCAAAAAATTTAATAACCAAAGCAAGGGGAAATCATTTTACTTTTTAATACTTTATGGTGTGAATTCCTTGGGAGGTATTTTGTTTTGTTTTATTTTATATTTAGTAATTTTTCAGATAGAGTAAAACTGTTAATTGAATAAAATTACTCAGAATAATAACTTCTGCTCTCTGGAACCAAAAGCCTTACTAAAGAATTGGTTGCTGTTGGGGAAACTCAGATATGTGTTCTGAGTCAGTGAGTATCTGATGTACACTGTGGCAAACAGACAGTTCTTTGGGGGCCTAATGTCAAGCTAACATGTACTGTAGGTTTTAGCAGCTATTCAACTGCAGCAGTAGCAGCAGCACAAAGCAGCCAGGGACGATGGTTCAGAAACATGTGAGCAATGCTGAATTCCAATAAAAATCTTACTTATTATGTTTATTGTATATGTATGTGCATTTGTATGTGTGGAGATGCACATGCTGTGGTGCACATGTGGGGACCAGAGGACAATTTATGGGAGTCAATTCTTTTTCTTTCTTTTTTTAAAGAAATAATTTATTGAGAATTTCATACATGCATATAGTGTTTTGATCAAATCCATGCCCATTCCCTCCCCTCCAACTCCTCCCATATCTCCTCATCACTTGTTTCCGATAACCTCATGTACTCTTTCTTCCTCTTTTATTATTTTTTATGGGGCTTTTGGCTACTCTAACATTCCCCCCTCCGAAGAGGTAACCCTAAAATCTTTTAAGGATTAGATAAAAGCTCCCAAATACTTTTGACATTTTTGGCCTTTGAAACTGAGTATGTTAAGAGGGAATAGGGACTCAGACCACTCTGGCTTCTTCCATGCCGAACAGGGACTCAGGATGAGACAATTGGAATACCCTTTCAGTGGGTCTATTTAAAAGACTCCCAAATTGTATAACTCTTATCTCTAGGGGGAAAAGAAAGTCCTTGACTGATGAATAGGAGATGTGAAGGAGAAGTAAAGGCAAGAGTCATTAGTATTACAAGTTCTAGACATGGAACTAGAAAAAAGAACAGGGCAAATTTCAAATGTTCATATGAGAGTCCATTGGAATTTCTTGACGAGAGCTTCCAAAAGCATCCCACTATTGGGTTCCTCCTCATTTTTCTTTTGTCTGCCAAGGCTGGACTCAAGAGTGATGGATTCAAGATTTGCCTTCAGGCACTTTGATAGCTGTTGGAGTGGTTAGACGATAGGGGGAGAAAGCAAATGTAGCTATCATTTTAGAACAGTAACAGGTTGTCTCCCTTAGCAACAGGTGCGCACTACAGTATTGCAGACCAAGATTTGAAGTCTTACATCTGAGCAGCACTTTCTGATTAGGAACAAAATCATCAATGAGAAATGATTGTCTAAATAACTTTTTGTATGGATTTAAGCCTGATGTCTGGGAAGTGTAATCCCTTGAATGCTTAAAGAAATATATTGATGACTTTACTCTTTGGTTATACTTTCCTTGTGGGTGTTTAAGACCATGGAGTTGGCCCAAATAAATCAATTTATTTTTACACTTAAGGTCATTTGAAGATCGGTTCCTCAGGGATCACATGGGCTTGTGAGGCACCCCCAGCTCCTTTCTTTTACCAGTTCCATCTACGTGAAGATAAGTCAACGGACCTGCTTGACTAGGTCTGGCTTCACTTGGAAGCACAGATGAGATGTTTCCTCTGAGTTGACCCTCCTCTTTGTAGACTGGTCACTGGTTCAAGTCCATCTCATGGGGTCTCCATAGCCTCCTTGAACAAGAGGACAGGTTGGGAGTCAGTTCTTTTTCTATGAGTGGGTCCCAACTCGAGTCATCAGGCTTAGCAGCAAGCACCTTTATCCACTGAACCATCTTGCTGGCCTCAAACCTGCTATGTTAATACTGAGATTTGAATTCCATGGAACTTCAATGTCACAAGAGACTTTTAAACTTTTCCCCCAACCATTTCAAAAGGAAAAAACTCAGCCTAAACACTAGCTGCCCAAAGCTAGACAGTGTGCCAGTTTTGTTCAGTGAGCTGTAGCTGGCCAGTTCTGGTGTAACTCCAGATCTTTGCCTGATTTGGGACTACATTTGTGCCTTTTTCAAAACAAAACGTGGAGAGACCTTGCTTCTTGTACATGAGATTGTCTCATTTTTCTTCCTTTTTCTGTGTGGTGGGAAAAGTCAGTTCTGATAAATGAAGAGGGGGAGTTTTCAGTCAGTGGAGCTACTTAGTCTTTCCAAAGATAACATCACTAGAAAGAATCTCAGACCTTTTCAATGTTGGTAAGAACTGGAGAAAGTAAGCTGGTGAAATGCAAGTATGGGTGCCTGGTTGCTCTCTTGGGAATATAAAGAGCTCTAAAATTGAATTCCATCCAGTACAGATGTTTTACTATCTGTCACAGAAGGGGAAAGTAGCTCACTCACACATTTTCTGCAGTGTCTAAACCTGTGGCCCTGGCTCATGCTGACTGCAGGGTATTCTCCTCTAGCTTTTAGGAGAGAAAATCAATTGTTGCAAGGAAGAAGAAACTAGCCGGTGCTTCTTGTCTATTAAAAGGTGTGACCCTAGTGTTGGTGGCTTATGTCTATAATCCTAGCACTTGGGAGGCAGAGAGGCAGAGAGGCAGAGGTAGGATTGCCGTGAGTTCCAGGTCAGCCTCTAGAGTGAGACTTAAAACAAGTAAGCTGGACATGATGTCTCATGAGTGTGATCCCAGCATTTGGGAGTCTAAGACAGGATAGTTCCAGGCTAGTGAGGGCTATAGAGTGAGATCTTGTCTCCAGACAAGAGTATGGAAATTATACATCATTTCTACTGCTGCAGGAGAAAACCTAAAATCTTTCAGGCTGGGGATGTAGCTCTGTACATCACTTGCCTAGTCACATGGGAGGCCCTGAGTTTCATCCCTAGCTCAAAAAAAAAATCATAAATAAAAAACGACACTAACATCTGGAGTGTAAGACAAATGTGATTCTCACACTTCCTCTATAATATGCTTCTTCCGGTAGCTTTCCATCTCAGAGTGAGTTCCCATAGGAATAACCGGTGTGAGTGTTCATGTATTAAATTTACCTTGAGCTCATGCTTTCAAGATTACAGAGTTTTATTTCATGAGCTCAGTGACCCCTATATTCCTTGTTTTGTTATAAATTAGGATTTATGATTCCCTCAGAAGTGTTGCCTGGGTTAGAACAAAGTTCATAATGACAGTCAAGGCAGATGTCCTGAAGTTAGGGGAGAAAAGGCTGAGTGGTACTCAAAGCTGGGGCCAGAAGGAGTTTGGAATAAGATGCTCTCTCTCTTCAGACCACCGCCACCTAGAAACAGCACAGGGACTTTCTGCTTACAGAGCTACCCTCCTAGCACATGGTGCACAGCATTCTGCAAAATGGCTTAGCATACTGATAAATGGTGCACACACTTGTTTTCAGTTGCTTGAACTTCCTAGATGCCAAGAGGAATAACACTAACGCACTTTGGAATTGTGACTCCTGTTAGCTTAGCCTGTCAGAATGGTGTCTCTGAAGTATGTGATGTGTGTGGCATTGCTTCAGATTTTTCTGTGTCATCCAGGGCAGGCCTCTATGTATGGCATGTGATTCAGAACTTTCTGTGATCTAGAAAGAAGGTGTCCCCTGACAGTCAGAAAAATCAGACTTCTCTGTCAGTCATTTAGGCAAAAAGCAGACCTTCCAGTACTTGACTGCCCTACAGGATTCTACTAACTGTAAAATAATGTGTCTGCAGTAACTGATTTTTAAAAATCTGTTCACTCCCTGCTTGTGCTTGTGCCTCTTGCTTTTAAGTAAGGGAAGCCCCAGAGGAAGCTGTTGTGCTGCGGCAGGGCAGGGGCATGAGCAGAGGGCTTTCCAGGCACCAAGTGGTGGTGATGATAGTGAACATTGGGAACCTGTGGGGACCACTGGGCTGGACCTTTCAGGCTTAAAGTGGCAGTCCTGGACGCAGGGAGGAGGAAGAAATGCAGGAGGAGGACAGCTTCCTCAGTGCCCAGTGCAACTAGCTGCTGTTGCTGCTGTGTATGTGTCTGTGTTTGTGTCTGTGTGTGTGTGTCTGTGTGTGCCTGAATGTATATGTATATTTTATACGTGTTGTTGTTGTCTCTGTCTCTCCCCCACCACACCTTTCTTTCCTATCTCTTTCTTTCTTCCTCCCTGACACTAATCAATCAGCATTTCTTCACCTTCTGACAGTTTTTTCATCATTAATTAAAAAGCATGAATGCGCCTTTGATTCAAGCACCTTCCAGGGATTGAGTAAGGATTATAAATGATTAATTCTTTTCCTGAAAATTATGGCCATCAACTCACTGAATGCTTCAGGGTGTTTATTTGTTGTTGCTTTATTTTGTTCTGCTCTTCTGCATAGAATCATTAATCAGTGTAAACTGGAGGAAAAGTCCCTAGGAAAACCCTCCGTCACTTGTGTTAAAGATGTTAGGTGTGTAACCTAACATACCACTGTAAAAGAATGACTTGGAGATGAAATCATACTTTTTTTTTTTTTTGAGACAAACTCTCCTATGTAGCCCAAGCTGTCCTGGAGCTCCCTATGTAGTCCAGGCTGGGCCTCAAACTCTTGTCAATCCTCTTGCTTCAGCTTCCCAAGTGCTAGGACTATGGCTGTGAACCATCAATCCTGGCTTTGATGCTGAGAGTCATTTTATCACCCACAGTTATATCTTTCAAATGCTTTCACATTTTATACAAAGAATTAAGGGATCTAGGGCCAAATCCAGGACAAGAAATTAAAAATCAATGGTTTAAAAAAACTTCTAAGTAAAAGATGATAGTAGGGGTAAATGTTTATGACAGGAGCCTTAAGACTGATTTTTTTTCTGCAAATATTATTTTTTTAACTTTTTAAAAATAATTTTTTCTTAATTTTTAATAACTACATGATTAGAAGAAGCATTTCATTACAGCTTTAACATATTCAGTAACACACTCCAGAGCAACAGTACATCTCTTTCACAAGTGGGTCTAAGTTTCTAGGTTCACACTTGAACTAATACAGTTATACAATATTGAACTCAGTACAAGTCTTGTAAGACATAAAATTGAGTTTTTAAGCTTTAAAAAAGATCTCCATTTCATTTTCGAATATATTGTTCCCTGCAGAAAGA